GCTGCTGGGCTCCCGGCTGAGACAGAAGACAGGGTACATGAAACTCATCGGAGCCGTTATGAGTTCCATGGTTTACAGAAGACCTTAGGTGGAGGGTTCCCCCAAAGTTGAACGAAGGTTTAAGTTTTATTTCTATTGTCCGGGTGGCCGTTTTTTCAGCGTTTAATTGCACCCAGACCAAAAATTTTTAAAAACTGCAAGAGTCTATTTTTTGGTATATGGTTATTAGTTTTATAAAGTGTAAAAATGGTTAATCAAAAATATTGGACAAAGTGGTCCCCAGTTTCAGGAAATAAAAAGCGGCCAAAACTAAAGGCTTGGGATTTTATATTATGCCTTCCTCTGCGCTTTTTAAAAAAAGTTGTTTTGAAGAACTCATACAGAAATATCAATCAACAATTTGATTGACCAAACATGTGTTCATGGTTTCACAGAGAAAGTGGTTTGACCTGTTGTTGCTTTTAAAAGATCGGAGTTACTTGTCAAAACCACTGTTAAGCGTTGAAGAAGTGTTATCAAAACTTTGAAGAAAAGTGTAAATCATAGACCTTTTTCTCAAAAACTCGTCTGTTGTTTACCAATTTTGAAGGAATAAATATTGGGAAAAGGTTACTCATGCTTGTTGTTTCTTTGTTCAAAGTTCAAAACTGTGTAGGTTGGTATCAGGACTAAATATTAATTTCGTTGACATACATGGGATACAGATCTACAGGCATATTCAAAAGTAAATATGCAAACTACTATATAGGCTCAATAGACACAATGAATGAATGTGATACTGACCGATGAATTCACATGCACCTGCCAGATTTACAGGCAGTCCGGCCCTCAGATAGTAATACTTATTTATTTTCGACCCATGTGCTATTTGAGTCGACGCCCCCTGATTCCAAAGGATTTAATAAGATCAGCAGTTTCAGTAATAATTTTTTTGACAACATTGACTATGACTTTTATAGTTGGGGTTCAATGGAGGATCAGAGAGGTTTCTTGACTCTGGCTTGACCCCCCTAAGCAGGTGCAAAAATCAAAAGCCGTCGAAGTGAACTTGTGTCCCTGAGAATAAAGAAACCCCTCCCTCCCAGACAGACACCTGCACCGACATTGCAGCCATCCCCAACATTGTGCACCTTGAAAGACCTGTAAACCATAGTCGCTCCAGCACACTCCTGCGTATTCCTCCCCCAGGACCCAGCAACTTTTAAGCCTTGAAAAATGTCATTCAAACTTGCAAAAAGGGTCAATTAAGCAAAGGCCATTTTATTTGTGAAATGGTGGTTTAATAAAAGTAAAACACCATATTTTCAAATCAAAAATATGCAAATATAGCCTTTACTAGCCTACATTGAATTGAGGTCAGATGGTAAAACAGTTGAATAACGTCTTAAAACTGAAAGCAAGTCAAATCCGTTTCATAACTCCATAATTCATTATAATAAAAGATGCATACTCCTGAATTCACCTGCTGCTTTTCATAAGGCCATAAATTGCTGTTACTAAACCATATGAAGATGACGCCCTGCCTATACAGAGAGTTATATCAACTGCCTTATTTAATAATTTCATCAATAATGTAGGCTTTGTGTAAAAATCATTACATATGTTGAGGAACAGGGTTGTTTTACAGGTCCTTCATACATTCAGATCCTAAACTGTGACGCAGCCTCAAATTCAATTAACGAGTAAAGAAAAATAACAACTTGCTATTAAAAGTACCCTTAAATACAACCACTTGAGCACATTATTAAGTTCATTTCCACTGTTGACAACTATAGAGAAGCACCAGCCCGTAACATTTGATAAATGGAGGTAATATGTAATGAAAACAGTCGGGACTGACTAATAACCACTTTCGATCCCCGTGTAAGAGTGTTTGTAACAGGTGCTATCAGCCAATCACATCGCTTTGTGAGCCGGTAGGTGTGGCCAGGTGTTTTATGAACAGCCAATGAGCTAACTTTCTTCTGCTGGAGAAAAAATGCATCGGAGACATCTGAAGAATTTGAATGCCTCCGATGCATTTTTTTAAAAGTTAGCTCATTGGCTGTTCATAAAACACCTGGCCACACCTACCGGCTCACAAAGCGATGTGATTGGCTGATAGCACCTGTTACCAAACACTACTACACACGATCAAAGTGCAGCTTTCATAATTCAGTTATGAAGCAGAGTCATCAATCCAAGGTCTGGTCTTTTATCTTTTCATTCATCCACAGATCAAAATGTCCATCATTTGAAAACAAAGAAGACAATAAAAGGTAAATGCCAGGTGAGGTGAAGTGAGTTTCAAACACGTGCTGACAGGACATACAAGGCTCAGAGTTGCACAACGAGCTCCTTTAAACGCCAGGAAAGCCCCTCCTCGACAGCAGTCTTTGACTTTCTGCCATCAAAGAACAACATAAACGGCAGGTGAAAAGCTTTTCTATTTAACACATTTTAAATCTAAACCTTGTTCTTTACTGTATAAAGTGTGTTTTATTAATAATACTTTATCTTTGTTTTAGATAACTTGTCCAAAAATGGCCAGACACAGCATCATCCGTGTGATTGCCATAGTGCTCTCACTGGTATTCTTCATCATCACCATGGTGTTCTCTGCTTTGGCAGGACCAGGAATAGGTACGTTTGAATGCTTTAATTATATATATTATTTTGTGAGATAAGGTTTGTTTGTTTAATGTAGAAATGTTGAAGTAATCCTTTGAATTTTTCAATGAGTCAACATAACTTCATTTTGTACCTTTTTTTTGCTCAAAGATCCCTTTTTGGAGAGCACCAAGAACATCTCTGATGCGTTTGTGACGGAGATCACTCCGGATGGGTGGACGTTCACCATTTGGGCCATCATTTACGTCTTCCTGGCTTTAGTGATGGTCTACGTCATCTCCGGCATCTTTAGGAAGTAGGAACCCGCCTATTTTCAGCTGCTTTAATTATACGTTTTTGCCAACACTTACCTGTGATTCTGTCTTCAGGAATGCATACGGTCCGGTGTACTGCAGCCCGGCTGTTCTGCCTCATGGATTCTTCGTGACTTGGTGTTTGAACCTGACCTTAAACGTTGCGTGGTTGTTCCTGTGGGACAGAAAGTAAGATTTCATTATTTACTTCTACTGAAATCAATCAGGCTGGGAAACCCTAAATTACAGGCAAACAATTGGCTTTAATTGGTTGTATATTCTTAAATATAAATACCTGGACTGCTTGTATGTGAATGAAGGAGAGGCTTATAGGTCATAGGGTCAAATACAGGTCATCACCTACAATCAATAAGCTCATAAGGCATGATTAGTGCACACATTGAGTGACATGAACATTGGCAGGATACTGAATATTACAGACATCCAGATACTTTAAAAGGATGTGTGTCTCATTCTGATATTACATATTCAAATGTTGCTTTTTATATTTTCGTCTATTCTGGGAGTTAATTCTTGTTTGAACCAAGGGTGCCATAAGCAGTGAAACCCTAAAAGAGAAATGTGTGATTCAGGAATATGAGTAGATTTATAGCTATATTTAAGATGTGTAAAAAAAGGAGGATATCAAGAAACATGTGAATAGTTGCTGATTGGACAGGATTACATTAAAATGCATAAATGCAACAACAACTGTTAACACATCCTTTGTTCTATCTCCCATCCCTATCAAAGGTTGATGTCCACTGCGCTTGCCTTCCTCATCCTCATCGTCCTCACTAACTACCTCATGATATTCTTCTCCTGCATCGGTCTCAACAACTACGGAGCGTGGCTGGCAAAGTACCACAAAGTGGACCTGTGGCTTCACCGAGTGCTGGTGAGTCCAGCAGCTGTTCTCCTCTCAGAAGCATCTGCAGCGTCAGCTCTGCATGCTGAGTGTGTTCTGTTTCTCTGCTGCAGGTTCAGAATGGGATCGCCATATACGCAACATGGACCACCATAGCATCGCTGGTGAACCTGACCATCGTGCTGACTGCGGACGCTAAGATATCCCCGGCGAACGCTGCCACCATCTCACTCTCTGTCCTCACTGTGGTGCTGTTAGTGTGGTGAGTGCAAAGTGGTGGATACATCTCGTATTATTGTAAATAGAGCTACCTGTCCAATCCGATCGATCCAGCGTCCTGTAAAACTTCAAAATCTACACAAATATCATTCAAATGGGCCTCCTAGGTTGACATTTCTGGTTTAAACTCACACTTTGGCTCGTGAAGATGTCAGAAATTATACAAATGGGCCACGTCGTTGTTGTGGTCATTATGCTAATTTACAATGTGCAAATTGAATATATATTCTAACATAAAATGTACGAGTACACAGCATTTCTGGGTTCACAATCGGACGTATAGGCTTGAAAATATAATGTAAAAGAACAATTATTGATGCATTAACTTGTTATCACTTTAATATTGCAGCTGGAAAAGTTGTAGTTATCCTATTCATACTGCCATGTATCTTGTGAATTTCACTTCGGGATCATCCTATTGCAACATATAATAATATTTGATAAATCCTTGAGATGTTATTAATCTGAATGGTTCAAAGGTACTCAAGTTATCAAATCAATTTCGTGGAATTAGCTCTGAAGTGTAAATGCTTAAAGAAACACCACTGCCTTTACTAAGTTCAAATGTGTTGTGTTTCTTGCAGGACTGTCCTTGAAAACACCATCCTGGATAAACACGTGAGGTACATCCTGTCCATCTACCCCGCTTTGATCTGGGCTCTGACCGGAGTGTTCTCCAAGAACTACAACGCTGCAGACCCTTCACGAAACAACACCTTCATCGGTGAGGAACACATCTCCACCTCTATCTCCAGGATGTTTGCATGTCCTATCAAACATGCTGTGGATTGATTTGAACATGCAGTTACACGGACAATGTGCACACTCATGTGTTTGTAATTCAACGTGTATATTTTCTACTTTCTTGTTTATTTCTAGTGTTTTTCTTTTGAATGTTTATTGTACAATGCCTCGTCTTTTTATGCTGCTGCAACACAAAAAAGTACTTCTTATCTTATCTTGTCTTATTTCTGCTTCCCCTCTGATATTTATATATATCTTCTTTCCTCTGTAGTCGTGCTGTTGGCTTTGGCCAGTACGATATTTGCAGGTCGGATAGGTCTGGTGGTCTGGAGACACATCAAGAGGCCCCTCTATGAGGACATCAGCCCGGAGAGCATGACTCCAATGGAGATCGCTGACAAGCAGAAAGATATGTTTAAATAAGAGGTTCTGATAAACCTGTGTGTATCGATGCAGTATTGTCTCTGTATGAGCTGTATTTTCTTAATGCTTTGTATATATTGTAATCTATGACTGTTTTGCACTGCTGCAACATATATAATGAAGCTTCCTTTAATAAGGGAAATTATATAATACTGAAGTCCAATCCAACCTGTCAACACATTTTGTACTCCATGTTCTAAAGACAGGCTTAATTTATTATTCATTTTACATCTAGGCCTGCAGTTCATTTATCAAAAAGGGTATAATGTTTGTGTTTCCTCATGCACTTTGACTTGTATTTTGTATACTGTTTAAAATAAATTAAGCTTTCTCAAATTGTTACGCTTTTGTGTGATTTTTCTGGTTTATAAGAAATAAGAAATACTTCAACTGTTCAAACAAACAGTATAATTATTTACTTCTCCTCAATCAATCAATCAATGTTTATTTATATAGCCCAATATCACAAATGTTACATTTGTCTCAGTGGACTTCACTTTGTACAGAATATCAGTATGACAACACGACACCATCTGTCCTTAGACCCTCTGTCCTTAGACCCTCTGGCCTTAGACCCTCACATCGTACAAGGAAACACTTCCAGAGAAAACCCACAGTTTAAAGGGGAACATGGGAGAAACCTCAGGGAGAGCATCAGAGGAGGGATCCCTCTCCCAGGACGGACAGACGTGCAATAGATGCCGTGTGTAAATCCAAAAGATAATACATTTACACATGACGTGAAGCACGAGGATGTCAACAATCCTGTGGGAGCCATCAGAGAAGTAGTATGGTGAGAGTCAGGCAGGACCGCAGAGACAGGTTCAGCCACATTACATTACATTGCATTTAGCTGACACTTTTATCCAAAGCGACAATAAGTACATTCGACCAGGAAGATACGACCTTGAAGAAAACAGAAT